CTGGAGCACTCTTCAGGTCCGGAAGATAAATACGATCTTGGCTTCTCATTTACTGTAACGTGCACTCTGAGGACTCGTACGCATGTCCAGCTTTGAAAGTGTGCAGTAGGAAGTGTGGCTACTTATACTTGTCAAAATCATATGGCAAGCCTGGAAGAGTGTGTGAATCAGTCCGCTTATGGGTTTGGCGTCAATAAGGTAACCGGGGAATATAGCAGGATTTCTCTGTCATTTCCTTGGATAAATGTCGTGGTGACATAAACACAATTAAACACAGTGTAAACATTAGAGGGATCAAGACTTGGCTCACTGGGGCTCAGAACACAGAGCACAGAGCTCACTGGGGCACAGAGCACAGAGCTCACTGGGGCTCAGAGCAGAGCTCACTGGGGCTCAGAGCAGAGCTCACTGGGGCTCAGAGCAGAGCTCACTGGGGCTCAGAACAGAGCTCACTGGGGCTCAGAACAGAGCTCACTGGGGCTCAGAGCAGAGCTCACTGGGGCTCAGAGCAGAGCTCACTGGGGCTCAGAGCACGGTGCTCATCATGATAATGGATCTAAACCACCTATTATGAACTATGAAGAGAACTAGAAATTACTATATAAATTAAAGGTATAACAAGCAGAGACAATGAGAGAATAGATATAAAACGCTGATTACAAACATCAAACAAAATAAACCACCTTGAGGTTACCTTGAGGAGTTTTCGGGGCTTAGCGTCCCCGCGGCCCGGTCATCGACCAGGCCTCCTGGTTGCTGAACTGATCAACCAGGCAGTTGGACGCGGCTGCTCGCAGCCTGACGTATGAGTCACAGCCTGGTTGATCAGGTATCCGGTTAACCACAAACTATAAAAAACGGGACGATAATTCTGAAGCAATTATTACAAGCAGCGAGTAATCCTCGGCTTTAATGCAGGCCACATTCTCCCTTAACAAATAATCAGCTACGGACGAGGTTCATTACTAACCATTAAAGATATCCTTAAAGAAGTATCCACGACAGGTAAACATTATCTGCGACTGTTGACCAGACCACACACTAGAAGGTGAAAGGACGACGACGTTTCGGTCCGTCCTGGACCATTCTCAAGTCGATTGTGGGGCTAAGAACATTCTCATAATCGACTTGAGAATGGTCCAGGACGGACCGAAACGTCGTCGTCCTTTCACCTTCTAGTGTGTGGTCTGGTCAACATACTTTAGCCACGTTATTGTGACTCATCGCCTGCATCTGCGGCTTTCAATGATATGAAGTCGACGGAAGAATTGACAAATATATGAGTCTGCACGTGAGAGGTCGCTTCTACACTGATGCATCCCTTCATACAATGTTGCAGCTGAAATGAGAGGATACTGCAGGCGTGGAAGAGGTACATGCAGCTGAAATGATTAAATGCAGTAGGGAGAGGGGGAATGAAATGGATGTACAAGATTTACCAGAAAGAGCCACAGTGCCAGATTATATAATGAATTGTGTACCAAAGCATAAAAGGGTGAACGTGTTAATGATTATTGAGGCATTAATCTGCAAAGTGTAATTAGTAAAGTGAATGGCAGAATAGCTACAGAAAGAGCAGGGAAAATAACAGAGAAACTTGTCAGTAAAGCAAACAATGGTCTGTTATGGTCAAAGTTTTATGTATCTGGAGAATATGTCTATGCAACGTTAATTGAGAAACCAGATGCTAGATGGTAAGCGCCCTCTAGCCTTAAGATAGCATGCAACAATGTCAATACAGAGACCATTGACCATGAACTGAGGTGGTAGACTGTTGTTAAATGTTGATCGTTAAAGTTCTGGATGAAGACGAATATCACTGTTGGATTCTTTTTCAGCCGCGAACGAAGGGAAAATATATCTTATGACGACAACAGATGAATCGAGTCTAAGATGTGTAGTTGATGAGCTGCTGAAGACCAGTGAAGGATGAACCCAAATATATCAAAACATGGAAATGTAACTCTGAATCGCTTTGTAATTCAAATATAACTCAAACGGCGAACGATAACTTGCTGAAGAGTTGACTGCGTTTTAGGAAGCAGTGGACACAAATCGTACAAGTTTATATTTAGGAAAGCCCCGGGTAAATACTGGTTTGGAAACAGAGTTATAGATTTAATGGATCAAATTACCAGTAACATAGCTATAAGGATCAGTACGAGTGTTTCAATATAAGATTAAACATGTTTGGAATGTAGACAATTTGGGGTGTGATTTAAGCCCAATGCACATGTATGGATTGTCTAGTGTCTGTAAATAAGAACGCAGTGCACGTTCTGTAAATAATATATTTCAGTGAACACTGTAACCTTGTAGTTGGTTACGCGTTTTTAACACTGATCAGGTTATCAACGCACTTTCTATCAACGTAATTAAAAACATTTACTTTGTGTCATTTTCATATATCATCTTCATGATATACTCCAGAACTCCATAAGGTTTTGGGGCACTTGAGAATATCAGTGTGTGACAGATTTGTGTATTTCTGACAACGGAAACTGTTTAATTTTCTATTCCATCCAGTAATGAGTGATTCATCTGATTCCAGTCAGTAAAGTACTTCTACCTAGTCTAGTATCTTCTCAGTGATTGATAAAGATTAAGCCACGCAAAAGGTGGCACGGGCATGAATAGCCCGTAAGTGGTGGCCCTTTGGAGCCATTATCAGTATCAATAGCCGATACTGGAGATCTGTGGAGGTGCGACTGCACCCTGTGTCGATCTTCTCAGTGATTCCAGCCAGCTTATATTGGCAGCCCAGGTGGTGTAGTGGTTAAGACACTCGCCTGGCGTTTCGCGAGCGCTTTGTCCTGGGTTCGTATCCTGGCCGAGGAGGATTTACTGGGCGTCAATCCTTAACTGTAGCCTCTGTTTACCCAAGGGTAAAATGGGTACCTGGTTGTTAAACGA